AAAATTGTCCTGTTCATCTAAATTTTAAATACTACTCAATTAACCAACTGATATTAATAAGTTTTAGTGTAAAATTCAGGAATATCATACAATCAAAATATAAAAATAAGTACCCATTATGAAGTAGAGAGCTACATCGCATAGTCGGTTGGTCGATGAAGTCTTAATTAAGTGATTAAAAATTATAACTAAATATAATTTGTTAATTGTTTTGTATTGTATTTTTATTGAGGAAAAACGATGTATGAATTTTAGTTCTTCGTCATATTTTTATTATTATTATTGTAGGTAATATATTTGAACACATTAGACATTCCATCTTCGTTCTATCTGAATAAGTTTAGAAAATAAATTGAGTACACAAATCATTTTTAGCCATGTTATTACGCTTTGCAGGGCAAGTACTGAGCTATGTACGGAAAATCGTGCAAACTACAGCTGAATTTATAGAGCACGAAACACACACGGCAAACATAAAGTATGATTGGAATAATGAGATGCGAAGTCCGCAGCGTTCCAAACTCATCATGCCTATCAATTCGCAATCGATCGAGACAATCGCAGTCATTATGATATTATATATTCGTACACCGCGGAGAGATAACGACGTAGGTACATGATAAATATTATATTAAATACAAAGAAAGTGGGTAGGTAGGTAGGTGCGATGTGCACTGCAAGTGCCTGTATATACGCGTTAAACACTGTTCGCGATACGCAAATCATCCGTAAAGTGTGGAGAAAACCGCCTCCGTACGAGACGTATTACACGCGAAATCACCGAAGATCTCTTTGTCGAAACGATTATTCCCAACGGGATTATATCGGTTTGCACTCTGTCTCGTTTTTCAATCACTCGCTTGCGCGAACGCCCCCGCCCGTTCCCCTCGTCGGCGCAGGTAAATTATATACTTATGTGCCATATTATAGGTGTGTGTGTATATATATATACACTGCGCATATTATACACAATACGATAATATACTATGTATATATAACGTCGCCGAGTTAAATGTAATGGGGTTTCGATCTTTGCGGATTACACACCACAGAAGTGCTTACTTGGCACCGCCATACCTATACTGCAACTGCCGTATTGTAATAATGGCGTACCCGGCCGCCGCCGTTTGTCCGCAAAACGTAATGACGTTATAACGTGTTTGAGATGTTTGATTAATCCGAACCGAACCCACTGACAATAATAAGTGAGTGTTTTGGTTTTCAGAGCGTGAAAGCTGATGACATAAAAAAAAAATAATAATAATAATAATAATATTATATACATCTATCCTTTTCGTCGTCAAGTCACGCTCTTACGATTAACATTAACGTAGGTACCTATATTAGTTTTTTTTTTTTTTTTTGATTTTTACGCGCGTTCGTTGTATATAAATCGAGAAACGAAAATATAATATGCTTACGTTTAGAGAATCTGGTTACGATCGATTTCTAATACACAATCGAATTATCATTAATATATTATAGTATTGTACTATTATATTTTGTTGGATGAAGATTGAGATATAATCATATTATGATGCACGCCATACAAATTAATAAAATTATAGCTCAAATTTAATCATTTTTGATAAAATCATAATATAATATATTATGCGTCACGACTCTTGTATTTTAATTATTTTAATGTAATCAAAAAAATATTAGTCATAGAATTATAGAAACTAAAGTATAACTTTGTACTGACGTTATTCCTTTTTATAGGCGACCAATCTTTCAAAATATTTAGACTTATTTTAAGAAATTTTATTTATATGAAAACCTATTCACTGATATTTTTTGGTGAAAAATAGTTTTTACTTACCTACAAATTAAGATAATACTACTAATAGTATGAAATATTCTTAGAAATTCATCATATCTTTCTTTTTTTATAGAAGACGATTTATCATTGATTTCAGATATTACACTTTCAGAACTTTCATTGTGGTCTTCTCAATGGCGATGTCAACTTGAAACCTACTATACAGCTCAGTGAATTTACCAGTTATTAGATTTTACCTATAACCAAAAATAATTAAAGATATTTAATAGACTATAAAATAAAAGAGATAATACATATCTTAAACACCAATAATAAACCATCCCTATAATTAGTTAATATTGTGTGTAGGTATAGTTATACATTATATTCTGCTAGGAAGTTCCCTTATTTTACCATATTCTGTGTTGGCCATATATATACCTATTTATTAAGTATATAGTCTTTTTGTATAAATCAAACATTGAAGTTAAAAAAGTTTTATATGTTAGAATTTGACAAATTATTTTCCTACTAAAAAAATATGTCATAATATAAGCATAATAATAAACATAATTTCGTGAAAAAAAAATTTAAAAAAATTCATCTGTTAAGAGGTCATCATTATAATATAAAGTATTATCAACAAAAGATAGGTAGGTACTAATGTACTATCGATTTGCATCATCGATAATATGCACTGGCAACACTATAACTTCATTGTCAGTGTTCAATTATCCAAGCAAAAGTACACTGCAGTGACACAAAATATCAATATTAAATGATCTGAAGTTAATTTTATGCCTGTCGGTTTTCATTTGATTCGTTAGCTAAATAACCATTTTATTACATTGCGAGTAAAGGTTATACACCTTGACTCAGCATTGTTCATTCAACTTAATCACGAGAGAATGATATGTATTTTTTTTTTTATGTATATTTGTAATAATAAAATCTACAAAAAAACAGTAGAAAATGTTTATGGATGACACCAACTCTCGCACAAAAAGTATGCTACGCTGCGGATAAAATTTATAATAATTGTGTTTCAGTGAAACTCGTGATTCGTGAATTACAAAAATGTGCATACAACATTTTAATGTAACCATATTATGACGTGCTATTTTTCGTCATAATAATTATATCATAAACGATTACATACAACAAAAAAGTTTAATTTGTAATTGAAAAAATACACAGCAACGGTTCCATATTAGACACAAAGAAATACGATTTTTCCATATTATCGAGTTGTTATGTACATATTTTTGATTAATATATAGGCACTGCGGTTATCAGAAGGCAATTTAAGTTGACAGCATTGTGTTTCCCTGAAAATTAAAATCAACTTCATCATCCTTGGATTCATCAATCGGACTGAGCTACAGAAGTGGAAGTAATTAATTATTTTATTTCATTACTCGTCAGGTACTACGTATATTATGTTTAATTATATAAATTGAATTAAGAACAGTACCAACCTATATAAGTAAATAGCTTAAATGTATTATTCAAATGATAAATATTTTAATGAGATTTACAAATATTTATACAATTTTGTTTCGTTATGTAGGTATAGTATTATAGCCATACAACAGTTTGTATATTTTGAACAAATTATAATAATTATATCAAGAAGTTTAATAATGGTATAAATACGTAATGTAAATAATATACATTTCGTATATTATTAATTTTAAATGGATACATTTGGAAAGGAAATACAAAATGCACAGAAAACAGTTACTACATAAAGAAAGATTCGCTGTATATTATTAAAACTATAATATTATATTTTAATTTCAATAATTAATTCTTGCCCAGTCACAGCCGAGAATTAATAGGAAACGAAATCCAATTGTCATCTTATGGTTGTACTCAATTCCATTTATTGTGTTATATGCCATACATTTAATAAAAACAACAAAAGGTTCGTCTTACGAATTAGTTGGTCGTTTGGAACACGATGACTCTCTCGACCGAGCCGTAACGTCAATAATCAAGACATCTGTTGGTATTGAGTCGCTTTCGATGAAATAATATTATACATATAATATTATAGTCACATAGGAGGAATAAATAATAATCGTTCCCAAATAGGATGATGGCTACGTTGCTGTGACCGTATTTGGACCACTATATTATAAACATAATAATATATATATATATAGGTATAATTGATAGGTATCTAATTATTAATTAAACGTACTACCGGGAAAACATCGAATGTGCGGCCCGGTCCCCTCACCGGTCGTCCTATTTCCGGGGCAACTTTTACGCATATACGACACGACGATCATAATAGTTGTAATAATAATTAATAAAGTAATAACAGCAATTATTTTCGTGCGTCAGTACAACATAATAATATTACCAGTACGCGCAGCTACACACATAAACGATATCATTATATATAAATTATCATTAATATTATAAAAAAAAAAACAATAATAATAATAATAATAATAACTTAAGCTGGCAGCGGACCCAGGTAACCCCTCGAGGAACAACGGTGAACGGCTAACCCACGGCCGAATTTCCCGACCCGCTACTATACAACAAATTATTATTAGTCTCGGTCGTCTCCGAAATCACGAGGATTGATTATTAGGTATTAATATTATTATTATTTTTTTTTTTTGGTTTTCGTTTCACCGTATAGTAGGAACCTAGTTGTCCGGTCAAACAGCGGCGATTAGAGGTACCCAACTGCGAAACTAGGGCGCGATCAGAGGGTTAGACCGCTCGAGACCGGTTCTAGACAAGTCAACGACCCAGAAGTCTGTATGGCGGTGGCATCACAACACCGGTGTCGGGTCCGGTGCAGTTTGCGTGTCTGTAGAGATAAATACATTATAATAATATACCTGTATAATAATAGTATAACACGACAAGATTGGGTCAAGAACGGAGGCGGCGACAGAAAGACTACGAGTGGAGGGCGTAGGTGGCGGGTGGTCCTGGTGGGGGCGCGGAGAGGCGGATATGCCGTCCGGAGGATCTGCCGGTTCCGACGTGTTCAACTGCAGCCAAATCGCCGCTCAGTCTGCCGTGGGTCTCTCCGTGGATATTTCGTTCAACGACAACTCCTGCAGTATTACCACATTTATTGGACTTGTACCGTGGTATAAAATATAAGTGAGACATCACCGCGCTACCGCAGTAGTATACTCAGTACACCCCGACGTGACTGACCGCCGATCGTCCACACGATATTTTTACAGCAACGAACGAAGAAAAAATGTCCGCCAACTCTGCGACGATCAAGTGCATTGCGGTGGCCGCCGTTCTGCTTCAAATATCCGTGATTTTCGGTGAGCTCGCAGATGATTATTATAATAATATATTATATTATAATTAGTCATAGGTACATAATAATATTAGGATGAAATTAATACGACTATAAAATATTAGTTACCAGCTGCTGTGATAATAATAATAAAACAGTTATAACTGACAGCCGTGGATTCTATTCTTCTGTATGACATTTTACGTTTTATATTATTCTTCTATTCTATTGTCGTTTTATCGTACAATAATAATTATAATATTGTGCTGACCGTAATTCGATGCTTTCGTGTGATTTTAGCGGATGCAGGTCACCACAGACGCGGCAAAGAGCTGTTGGACACCGAAGACAGCGACTTCTTCCGGTGCAAACAAGCCAGCAGGAAGGTAAACCGTTTGCACCATGTGGTTAACGTATACGATCAATATAATGTGATACCACTAAGATGGTATAGATGATAATATATACCTACTACTCATACCTACGATATTGTAATTTATTATACACATAATCTACGTGACAATATTATTTAAAACATTAAATCCGTTATAATACTATAATATTCGAAGCTAAACTAAAACTTGACCGCGACAACAATATGGCTGGGTTTTCAAAAGAAACGTTAACTTTCACCAAAATACGACAAAAGCACTTCGTTAAGTGTAACAGATTTCTCTCTTGTGCTTATAATATGTGTATAGTATAATAATACCGTGTACATAATCATTTATTTACGTTACACCGTAAAAATTCGATTACGCATTCTGATAAATGTATTGTCATTTTATAACAACATTGATGCAATAAATACAACCACAATCAACCATTGTGATACACATAAAATGTATAGGACGTTTTTGGAAATAATAATTTTAGTCCATCGTCCTAGTTGATTTAATTGAAAAAGTAAAAGTTCTTTTGTTAGAATTGCTTTCTAAAAAAATAAAACCGTTAAGTTTTGTTCGAAATAATTCTCTCTGAGTTTGGATCATAATCTATAATAAATGAACTTTTATCCTAGTCGTTCAAATAAAATAATTAATTTTTGCAATTAGTTTGAAGTTTTTTTTTTAGTTTTTATAATATGATATTGTAGTTTTTTAAAACTATAATTTAATAATACATTAAAACCTACGACATTTACTGTCTTTGTTGTATAGTATAGGTACAAGTAAAAACAATTTTGATAATTACAGCACAATTACATAAGTTGAGCTTATGTTATTATAATTTACTTATATTAAATCAAAGAACTTTGGGTAGTTGATTAAATAAACAAATAACTTTTCCTATATAGTTTCTACATTTATAACTTAAATACAGGTGATAATTAATTAAATTTCAGTGATTACAAATTATAATAGTTAGGTATCTGATATAATTTTACACTAAACTGCCAATATCGTAAAATATACTATTTCAGATTATCTTATATTAATTCTATGCACATAATATAAAATGCCGAAAGCTTCCAAAATGTAATAAAAATCAGAAAAATATTTATTTTAATGTAGGCAACTTAATTTTAACACAATATGCATATTGTACTAAGATTACTTTTATCAAAATTATATTGAAAAAAATAAAATATAACTTAATTTAAAGTTTTCTTTTGAAAAAAAAAAATAAGCATTCATTTTATTATTTCAATTGAATATTATTTACTTAGGTAGGTACCTACAAACTTCTGTTACAGCGTAATATCTTATAATTATAAATTTAAATAAGTTGGTTTGAAAGCTAATTAATATTTTTTTGTTTTAATTAAACAAAATATACTTCAATATGTTTTATCCAGTTATAAAGAAGTAAGTTTACATCTGATTGGCATTTTAAATTGTTTATATTGTCTTCTTATCGTAAAATTTATATTATTTATATTTAATACAGAAGTAAATACTTAGGACAAAAACAACAAAATTGGATAATTATTTAAATTTTTAATTAATTCTTATGAAAATCATACACTAAAGACTTGTGAAGTACTCAATGTAAAAAAGTTTAGTCTGATTTAACTTGGTAAAATATTCGATTGAGTAGTCGATTTTAATTAACTTGTCGAGTACAGTTTGGGTCAATAAACTTGGTTGAGAAATTAAACAGTAATGCTTGTTTTTCCCTTCAACATGCTACTTAATATGTAATTTCTATGGAAGAGTAGACAAGAACAACGTAATTTTGCTTAACAAGGTTTTTTATCAATCCATAAATAGATAATATATTAAAATTATTAAATATATTTTTTTTAATTATAATATAACATTCAGGTTAGGTTAGGTGTGACAAAATATTCTGAAAAAAAAATATAAAATATCGAGTATTCCGTTATTAATATGAAATGTTTATAAAAATTAAATAATAAATACCTACTTATAAAAGTTATATGTACCTATGTAAAAAATATATACTTGTAAGATGTTTATTTATTTGAGAAAAAAAATGAATATTAATTATTCATATTTAAATATAGAATTTTGCATAATATTTTTTTTTTTTAATAAGAATACTCTTAAAAAAACGACGATTTTATGTCAGTTGGTATAGTTTATATATTTATAATTTTAAATATAAACGTTCATGCAATTAAATCTCTTTTTTTTTGAGCTTCTACTATTTTTTAACGGTCTGCCAAAATACTCCCTAGAAGAAATGATTTTTTTTTTCAGAAAAATCCAGGTCGGTGGTAGGTTAGGTTGGTTAACGTTTGATTTTGTTAGAAACCACCCCGAAGAAAACTTAATGAGATTTTTTGACCACAAACCATTCTCCGACGCAATGTTATAAAAATAGAAGGATTTATAAACTAAAACAAAAACCTTTAGTTTTTAATCAAATCCTGTATATGTACAAAAAAAATATAAAAACTTTTTTTTTTCAAGTCTTGTTGTGGCCCGGAAAACGCAATGAAGCGATTCGGCGATAAAGACAAAGTAGCAGCTGACGAGTGTTACGCACAAGTAGCCGAGAAGTTTGCAACGGTTCCAGGTAAATTAAATTATGTTCAAAATTGACTAGGTCACTTTAGTATTTAGTGAACAAGTCTATTTAAATTAACTTCATGTAGACAATAATGACCATTTGACATGCCAATATATTATAATATTATACAATAATATAATAATATTTAAGAACATTTTATAATCTTTGCCATATTTTAATTTTAGTACCAATTAGGTTAGAATACCCATATTATAATAATGTTTGGCGTACATCATATATTTTTTTCAAATAATTTTTCACAAAGAAGATTTATAATTTTTATATTCAAATTTATTTTACGATGACATCGAATATCGATAATTTTGCAACTAGTCTTAATATATTATAATTTTCCTATTAATATTACCAGTTGGTGTTGTAAAATAAAACCAATAATTTTATTTATGAGCATAACGGTATTAAGTATTAACCTAATAATTTCAATAGACCGGTTTTAATAAAAAAAAAAACAAACTTGAACATAGGTGTCTAATGCCAGTTTTTATTTTAATAAAGTTTGAATAATTAAGCAGGAGAATCAATCGTAAAATATATGACAATATATGCATTAGTTTGAATAGTATGGCAAAGGTTAGCTAAATATGTAAATAATACATGCGTTTTTAATAATCTAATCACGTCGCAATAATTCTGAGTTGAAACTTTCTATTTTATGGTTTCTATTCAACTACAAATTTGAAGGTTCTGCGTTTCTGACCTCTAAACTTTCTCTTCCCGTTTATAATAAGCGGGCATTCAACTTAACTAATCAAATCAAAACAAAAATTTCCGAGAAACATAACGCATAGACGTACGAGTAATTTAAATAATTTAAAAATGGATTTTGAATTTCGTAGGTAGGTAAAACATTTTTGATTTATAAATTATGATAATGTGTTAATTACTTTTACTTAAAATAATAATTTTGATTCATTAATTAATGTCCACTTATAAATTATACAAAAAATGATATTTTTCATTTACATTTTAAAATAAAATAAAAAAAAGTTAAATGTAAACACGTTGGTCATTGTACCTAAGTAATGCATAAAATATATAATAATAATAAATATACCTCCATTATATTGCATGCGTTTCATCTTAAAAGTATTTTTTTTTAAAAGTGAATATTAATGTTATAATGCTGTCTATACCTTTCATTCCAAATGTTAGTTTAATAATAAATACATATGGGACGCAGAAACTTAAAACCCTACCCTTCGGGGCTAAGTATTTTAGCTATTTGGTATTTAACTTTTACCATTTATTTACTTCGCATATTATTTTCCATCGTTTATATACATATACTGGTCAGTACTGTGAAAAGATATTGATAAAAACAAAATGTAAGCCACAGGTATTCAATATAATTGTAATCTAATAAATTCAGAACACTCTGATTGGAGGTGACAACACAAATTCAAACTTGTTTGATAATAATTTTACAAGTTTGAGTATCGATCGTGAGCTGTAAAATATTTATCGTCGGCACTTGTCCCCACGCGCAAACCTATGCATATTATATGAGATGGCCACTTGTATTTTTCACAAATCCGTTTGGTATGTACAGTAGGTAAGTCTCGAATTAATTAAAAATAAAAAAAGGGATCAGTAAAAGGATTTGAATAAAATTATCCCCTTCGTCTAAATTGACAAGTTCGGGATTAAAATCTAGACTGCATACAAGCGCATGTATGTTACGAACATCATGTTGGTATATTATATCGAGGTAATTTTTCGCTGTGAAATTACTATTGGATAACACGCTTGTCATTTTACATTAACAAAAACTAATTTTCTCGTGGTTCGGGACTTGAAATCTCCAATATACACAGAGTAGGTACATGCAATGTACGATATAATAATACGCACAAGTCCAGATTAATAAATTTCGACTTTCGAGTCCATGCTTCGGTGTGCCGATTTATTAAGTTGATCGTTAATATCTTGTTTTTGAAAATTGGTGCACCATAATAATAGAACAATATAACGCTGCTGGTATTATAACCGTACACGAGAATTAATTTGCAGTATATTTTATATGCAAATTCTCGTCGTGAAATCGCACGGGGTTACGAGCGTATTATGTTCAAGACAGTCAAATTAATATTATACTTTGAACGGTTTTCTTTATTTCATTGAAAATGCTCGAAGTTTGGTCATACATTTGTGATTCGTTCATAATACATGTAAACACAATATGTATTAAAATGTCATGTTCCATAAATATTTTTTTGAAGTAGGATGAATATAGTAAGATATATAAACACATAAGTATCAAAATTAATTAGTGTCAAATTACATTTAATATAAAATTAATAGCTAAAATAATAAGTATATGTCCATCAAAAAATATTTTATAGGTATCCAAATAGCCAACTTACAACAACAACAATAATATGTTGTTATTATAATTTAAATAGTAGGTGACACAAGAAAACTGTAATTCATAATATTATTATCATCCAACAATAGATTGATACGATACTTAATTTTGACTTGACAACATGTAGATAGACGTATAGCTAATCCTAGAACAAAAAATGTCACATTTTAACATCTGTTATTTTCGATTCAACTTTTAGTGATCGTGCAAATGGTAGGTTTAAGAATATTAAATAGTTTAAAATAGTTAGACATATTAATTGGTGATAATTTAAAAATAAATCAATACAGTGTAATCAATTATGTACCTAATTAAACAAAATAATTGTAATTAGTTGAACAAAAAATAGTTAGTCAATACTACAAAATATCTTAATTAAATATTATTCTGTTTGGTGATTTTACAGCTACTACACCCAAACAAGACTTGTTTTCTGCAGAAGCTGTAAAGATTACCAAGAAGAAGCAATTCGTGGGTTTTTTTTTATCAATTCACTTATTGCATTCGTGTATTTTAATTAAAACACTAATTTTTTAATTTTTGTTTCAGTGCCTTCACGAATGTATCGGAAAGAAAAATAATTTGGTATGGAAATTAATATTAAATATAATAATAGAAATAAAAAACTATGTAATTTAAAATTAATTTAGCTCTCCGAAGACGGTTCACTGAACAAAACGTTCATAGCTGATTACGCAATGAAGAGCGTCTTCAAAGAACAGTGGCAGAAACAAGTGGGGCAAAAGGCCTTGGACAAATGCCTTGAGGAGACCTACAGTAAGTGCACCAACATATTTTATTGTCTATATGCAATTTTACACGGCAGTGAGCACCCCGCAAAACAATACGCCCTATGACCCGATATTGGACGAGACCTTTAACCAAATTTTTGAAATAATAACACATGAAAACCACCAATAAAAATTGTATCTATAAAATATCACAACCACAAATAACACACGTACCGTTATGTGACTCGCGTGCATGTTTACCTGAATTTTAGAACCTAATTTTTCTTGCAAGCTATTTATCTTATAAATGTATTTTCTTCAATGAAAATAGCCCGATTTGTAAAAAAAATTGTTATTTTCATGACAATCAATGCTGTATAATTATAACATGGACAATATTGTAAGTTTTAAAAACTAAAAATAGTAGGAACATTTTAATAATACATTTTTGAAACAAAAACATTGCTCCGATCGATTCTCTGTTAATTATTCGATTTTATTCGGTGAATAACTTAAAAATTAAAATGTTACTCGAGTATCACAACCTCCCCCCCCCAAATGTGTTTACTGTTTAGTTTTTGCTAGACATTCTCGAGTACTTATATTTGCTAATATTAACGATGAACTCAATACTTCTAAATATTATATTATACTTAAAATATAACTAAGTGTTTAAATATTGTGTATGAATGAAAATCGATTTTTGGTTCTATCACAAATGCGTTTTAAAGCGAAAATCCACCAATGTTAACGGGCCATAGAAAAAAAAACTAAAAGGTTAAGAAATGCTGTTATTCACGTGTGGGCACTCGGCACTTTCTATATACCTAGCAAAACGATTGCCACATTATAAGTTCTTTGTAATATGAGCCATATGAAAACGGGCAAACTCCCCATTATGGTTAACGGTGTTTGTTAACATACCGATAGCACACCGGAAGTCCCTCAAAACCGGTATTATGTACATTTTTCTTAGCCTGGGGATTTTTAAATTATTACCATCGTAATTAGTTCGCATATCAAATCTCGGACCACCTTCAAAACATTACAGTGTGAACGGGAATATTTTTTTACTCTAGTTTGTTTTTTTTGTTATGTAGTTTATCATGACATTCTTATATCGATATTATAATTTTTAATAACCTTACTACATTCCCCTACAATAAGCAATATTAATTCGTTGGTTTTAACTATAATAGACGAAGTCATTTAGGTACTACGAGCCTCATATTTAAAATAAAACATTATCCATAATTATAATAGATTGATATACTATATTATTATTGACATTGGTATGGAAACAAATTAAAAATTGAGTGTTCTATGAACTTATACATTTTAAGAACTATAATATCGGACAGTAAATTGCAATATTAAAATGAGTAACCTGTAGTGGTTTGAATGATGTTATAAATTAATATAGTATACAATCACACAATTTATATAAAAATTACTTTTTTCGAATAACATGATGTACTGTTAAATTAAAATATACGACGTTCCATTTTTGTTTGTTATTGCAAATTCAATAATGAAATTAGTTGGAAAACATAATAGTATAATAATAGTAATAATAAATATTATTGAAAACATCGATTTATATACAATATTCCATTTATTTATTGTACCATTTTCTGTATTTGACGATGAAATTAGGTTGTATGCGATTTCTTCAGCATAATGTACACGACTAGCATAATATTTGTATTATTACATTAATTCATAAACATACATAAATAAATACTATAGCAAAACCCCTTTTCTATTTACCTATTCCTCTTTCATTTGAATTAAATTTAAAAAAAAAATGTAGCATGCAAACTTTTGACTTGAATTAATTTGTCAAATTGTTAATTCAATCGAATCTCTGCAACCGACTGATCACGCTATTACGTTATCGATTAATCGCTTTAATACTTTCAACCGAATAACAATGTATACGCCATATAATACAGACATAATAATATTACAATGCACCTACAACATGACCTTTACTACATTATCATACACATGAAACTGTCCATTGTTCAATATTATTGTGACATCAAACGATTTGTTTCAGTACCGTGGCCAGCAGAAGATAAAGAAAACGTGTGCAATCCAGTATACGTACAATTCCAACACTGTCTGTGGTTGCAATACGAATCAGTAAGTTCAAAACACTGTTGTTTATTTTAGGTTTTTTTTTACACTCAAGTGCATATTATTAATTAATAATTCGGTCTGTAATCCGAAAACAGCGCATACCAGTATCATACGAACTGGGGTGGTATAATAATAGTAATATTATTTCACATGAGTCATGGAGTACGATAATCCAACAACACCCCTATCTCGTAGATGACCTAATGAAAACTCAAACATTGATTTGTGAATTAGTCTTTGGAATTTCATAAACCTGTAATTATATTTAGTGCTCACATTTTAGACAAAACATTTTTTACACATTAAAATGATAACAATTTAACAACTCATCCATAGAATTTAATATTCAACACAAAACCAATAATATATTTCAAGCGTTCGATTCAGTTTGAGATGTACTCGCATTGCATCAATACACTCTTTTCAACCTTAAACTTTTAAACTACATACTTTGTGTTCATTTTGTAACGTGCATTTTTTACTCCAATTTTCTATTTCGTGCTTTTAGTCTTGCAACATTTTATTGTACTACAGAAAAATATATACGTTCTGTTTCAAAAGTTTGTGTCGATTCTTTATTCGAACTACAGCATCATTTGTGTAAAGTATAAGTACCAACCAGTCAATACCTCCTAGGTACTCCTTTTGATAGGTTAGACTGTTATAAAATCAAACGAGCGTGTAGCATAAAGACAAGTCACAAATGCATTTGCAATTTAAAATATAATATGTACTCTGCTTTATATCATAAAACATACATTAGAAACCTATATAATATTTATGAAAAAAATATAAACTTAAAATAATAATTAGCTGTTGGTACATAATATTGCACATGTGCTTATTGATTTAAATATTATACGTAATATAATATATATCTATTGTGATGATATTGCTTAACATTTGCATCATATTATGTGTACAATTATCTAAGAGTAAAATATTTTATTGTAATATCTTTATAGTTTAAAGACTAATAAAACTCAAAGTAGGTGAACATGATTTTTTCTCAGTATGTGTAGTGCATTATATAGAATGGAACTTTTGACGAAGTAATTTAGTGGTCGTATTAGGGATTAACGTTTATGACATTAATAAGTTGAGTGATTACAATAAGAAAATAATATTTTGGAAACTTTAACATGAAATTCTTTTAAAGTTCTCGGCTTAAATTAGGGCGAAACAAATCGTATTGTTTATTGTATGATCGATGATCAACATAGCAATACATAGTTTTGTGTTAATATTTATTAGATTCATAAATAACACAACAAATATTATTCATCAGTGTGTCATAATGATATAAATTTGATTTAAATATTTTTGATTGAGTTATAAATACAAAATACTTTCTCATTTGTAATAAAAAAAAATCTACAAATAAAGTAATAAATAATAGTGTACAAGGGAATACATTCTAGTTTTTTTCTTAAGAACCAAAAAAAACATTTTTAATAATATTTGGATAATACTGACATACTTATTTGGCCATTTAATAAACATTAATAATAATTATGTTACACAAATTTTCTCCTTAAAAGTTTCCCCGTACTACTAATAATAATAATTGATAACTCTACATAACTATACGTATGAAGCACACAACTCACAAGTTATTACTTGTGTACCATTTCCTTTATTTTATGATCGTATATAAGTTAGATGTATTGTCAATTTAAGACGCGACACTTCAACTTATAATAATTACACTTAAATTAATATCCATTTTCACTATGTCTGTACGTAATATACGATTGTTTCTTTTTTTTTTCAGAACTGCCCAGCCAACAAGATTAAGATCAGTAAGTATATTAATCAATTTATTTTTTTTTGTACTCTTATAAGATAATAATAATAATTTATTTGATTGTAGCCAAAAAATGTGAGAAGACGAGAAACCGGTACAGGATGCAAAAATCGACTTCAAATTAATGATCTGCAACTTAATGATATTACTGCTCTGATTGACTTCGGAATACATAAAATATATTACACACGTTTCCAGTCAGTTCGTTGAAATTCAAATCTATCGTTTAGCTTTATTATTATTATTTTGTCGCAAGTACTTTTGGAGGTTTTCAAAAAAAAAAAAAATTATCTAACTGTACGGAGTTATGATCCCACCATCGTTTTATTTTTTTATTATATTTTATTGTTTTTTAATTATTTTACCCATAAAAAAAAATCCTGTCATTTTTATATGAACTGTGTGAGGTACACGTATTTATATATATATTATTATATTATATTGTATTATAATGTCACTGTCACACAAATACATTATGTACACTATTATTATTATTATTATTTAAATATATTATAATTTATAACTTAGATGGATTCTTCTTTTTATGAGCGACGCTGTCTTGCATTTTCTAACCAACAACTAAAACCTTTGTCGGTTCATACGTTTGAATGAAGAAGTATAATTGTTTCACCTAAATACGACTATTTAAAGAGATGTTGTGAATTAAATGTTATTCTACTGTTATAGTAAAAGGATATTTTTGTTTACTCATAATGATTTATAGTTATTAGACTGTTGATAATATTATGTACACAATTTTAGGGTGGGGGCTGGCAGCAAAGCAGAACCCTCTAGAAAATTAATTAAAAAAAGAAATAATTGACAGAATAATGAAAAAATATATATTATTTACATATATTTTGTCCATATTATATTCAAATATTATATTGTATACTGTAACAGTTAACAAGTACTATCGTATGATATTAAAGTATTTCTAGTGATTTTGGAGTGCACATAAATTATTTATATAAATATTTAACATATTTTCTTCAAAAATAAAAATTTTAAAAATGCAATTTTTTAAATACAAAATTATTGTATACACAATTAATCCACCAATTAATATTTTTGTGCCATCATTTCACTCTATTAGTTTTTGTTGATAAATCATGTTTATTGGATGAGCTTAAATAAATGTATACGACGTGTTATAATATAATTGATTTATTTAGGTACCTATTTTAAATCACAATAGAAATAATACATTAAATGTCTAATGAGATTAAATAAATTTCAACATACTTGTGAAAAAATGTGTGTCAACAAAATGGAAATAAAAGAAAGGTCAGTTTCCGGAGTGGTCATTTCCGTAACATGCCTATAACCTATTCGACATCAAGCATAGTTTTGGCCATATCGCGTTCAAATGAGACGTAATATCTTTGGCTTACGCTGTTCCACTGTACCAGTGTCCAATTAAATACCATAAAACCGAATACCAAAAAAAAAAATATATATATATAAATAAAAACATAAACGGGGAAAAGTTTAACGACGTCTGTGGCAGTCGTAATGGACGTTTGAAAAGCGCTAATATGCGTTCCGAATCGTCGTCGTTATCATTATCCTTATTATTTTGATCATCATCGTAATTGTATTACTTTATTATCTACATCTTAATTGTAATTATTATTATTATCATGATCATCATTGCTATTATTATTACTATTATTCTGATAACTAATTGTATAATATTATGTTTAATGTCCTCCGTGCATAGTCAATGTACTTTACCTACTGGCTACTGGGCTTACGTAGCAAAGTAAAAAGTTCTATATGATTTATCCTTTTTAATATCACGTCCGAAAAAAACTTACATTTTTCAGTCAATTAGCTTAGACATTTATGCAACACTGTTATTTATTAATCAACTCATATGGTAAGATTATAATATTATTATTTAACTATTGTTATGATAATTTGATCTATTATATTTATGGCTTTTTTACTATTTCTGTATTAAGTTGATCATATTATTATCTTAGTCATTGAAACTTTAATAGCCGTTCAGCGTTTATATTCCAATAAATAAATAAATAAATATTTTTTTAATAAGTACTTATATTAAATAATTTATTATAAAAATATGTATACAGTAAACAGTTGTAGTCACTACATATTCTGGATGAATCTGTAAGAAAGTTTTTTGTCCGGATGACAAAGCTATGTGATTTCAGCGATAATGGTTGATTTGGTACTAAACATTCTGTCTGAAATATGCGGTGGTCCGGATTATCCTGCAATGGACGGATTAAACAGCAACTTATTAGAACTTTATTTTATGAAGTACCCACATATATTTTTGAGTTGGGTACAAATCATACTATATTATAACATAAATATCAAAACAAAAGTACGATCAGAAATTATTAAAATATTAAGCAATTACACTTACGGTTATTTAAAACCGAATGAAAGATTTTCATAACATTTAGAAATGAACAGTAAATGAATTTGAAGTTATTAATGTTCGTTTTTAATAAATTTAACTTTAGCGTTTGTTTAAAAAAAATATAGTCTGTGCCTAGTAAATGAGGCATGGCAGCATTTCTAAAATATATTTCGTCCTCGGAAACATTGCTGACGTTAATGAAATTCTTGGAGACATCTACTAAATTGTGATCTAGCGAAGAGTTGTTTATGAACACTTTATATTTATTATCCAGGGATAACAAATTAATTTAATAAAAAGTTAATAAAAATATAAATATTCATTTGCCGTTTTTATTTTAACTACTGCTTGCTAATATTAAAAACGTGGATCATATTTTCGCAAGTCCATGTAAAAAATGTATTTTAACAATGTTCATATTTGCATCGTAGTTAGTAGTTTATCAGTAATGAAATGCAGATTTCAGGAAAATAAAGATTTGTGAGTGTACGCAGCTGTGGTTTTAAGTTTTGGGTTTAACTTGAACTTCTGAGGATAAAACAAAATATGTACATGCTTAAAATACCTTTTTATATAGCTGTATTAAAAACGTACAATCTATGTACAATGTTGGATTGACTTACATTATGAACAAAAATGTTATATACCTACTCTTAGTTATCCTTGGCTATTCCACTTGGGATACAACATATTATACCATAATATCGTGTGTTCTGAATAAACAATATAGATTACTCAAAAGACTTATTGTACTTACATAATTGTGTTATTTGCATAATCATTTATATTATAACATTTTTTTAAGAGTAGATTGTTATGCTCTAAAAATAATAATCAATGCAAAGATATTATTTAATTTAATTTTTAGAAATATATTTTTTGACATTAAAGCATTATGTTAAGTTATTTTAATATTCTTCACGCGGGTCGTTAGTCCTTCTTTTAGTATTAAACGTTTATATCTAAAAATAATTTTCATTATTTGTAAGCACTTTCTCGCCCTTCCAAGGTCTACATTGTAAGATCTTGCTCCCTGTTGCAAACTTCCTCTCCATTGCAAATACTTGATGCCGTTACATTCGATCAGAATCTAAAAACTAATCTATCCGAAAACGTAGAGAAATATTTGTGTTGCCATTTAAAAAAAATTAAGTTGTAATTCTCATGCACGTACCAAAAATGTTAAACATTTAAATTGTTTCAAAATTTGTATTTGGGTAAGTACTTTTACTCTTACTTTCACCTTCCAAAAACCTTTTTTTGTTGTAATAACCACGATGAGATATTTAAAGGTACCTACGACCTACATGAAATAGTGATCACACTGTATATTGGTTTACAACAAAAAAACGAATAATGATTGTCGAAAAATGCTTATTTTTCATTTATAAATCTGTTTTTGTCAAAATTCAAACTTTTAATTCAATCAAATAAAATAAAATAGGGAGAAGTAGCACAATGGCGTTGCAAGGAGTTGACTGTGCCATCATTGAATAGGAACTGTAATGGATTTGATTAATTTGAAATCAATGATTAATTATTATATTATGTAATGAAGAATGTTTTTGAGCGAAAAGGTAAAAATTTATGGTAACAAAAATTAAAATTTTTCTTAAAATGTTAACAAATGTTGGTATTTTTCTTTTTTCAGACTATTCAAAAAATACTGAGAAAAATAAATTTTGACCTCCTACTACGCGTACCAACTCGATCTTATTTGCTACCATTTGAAACATCTATCAAAGTAGATTTTCAGAGCAATTTTTCTACAGTAAAAAGGGTCATCTGACACAAATATAAAAAATACACTTCATTGTTAATTCTATACATTTCTCGTTTTATCTCAGAATCTAATGCAATTTGATATTTCCAAATGCTGTAAGAAGAACGAATAAGGATCTTGGTAATCTTAATGAAAATGTAATGAATTTTTAACTACTAAATAATTTAAATAGCAAATAATATTGTGATCTTCATGATTTTAATGAATTTTGTACTACAATTTAAACTCCAATCTTCTATAAAATACCAAAATTTTGACATATTTTTGAGATATTTTTTGATTTTTTAAGAACTACAAATAATAGATCTTGTACTAAACTTTTAAGCATTCAACCGAGAAGCAAAAATGTTATAAATATTACTACCTACTTATAGGAAAAATTTAAAACATTTTTTAAACAAATGTTATAAAATATATAAATCAGAAAAAAATGTATAATGCAATAACTATCATTAACAGTTTTTTTAAAAGAATTTCGCTAAAATTAAAACTTAAAATTTAAGTACAATGTTATTAAACGGAAATTCCACAAGCCATTAAAAATAAGTTTCGTTTAATAAGTTTTAAAAACTGTTGATATAAAATGCAACTTTTGCAATAAATATACGGTACACCAACTTGTTTGTTTTATAATTTTTTTACCTCGATAAAAAAAATTTAATTTAAACTTAAATTTAGACTAAAAACTTGACAATTGCTTTTGGTTTAAGGGATCTGAAAGTTGTTTGTAATTTATAGCGTAATATGCATATTTTAATTATCATAGTTGTACCGTGACTGTTGTTTGAATAATAATTACATTAAATATTATATAATTTATAATTTATTATGGATACATTTATATACACTTGTTCACTATCTATAATTTTTCAATAAAAATAAACAAAAATATCAATGTGAATGTAGCATATTATAATTTATATATCACCAAGGTGGTTAAAATGTAC